ACTGATCAAGGGACCTAAGGTCCTAGTTGAGCGTACGTTTTATCCTTCTGCCCCACACTTTCTATGGTGTTCATGTCATATTTTTAAAATATCATTGTCTAAATTTTCATTTCTTCCATTGATTATTTTCGTAGAGATTTTAATCTCATTAAAAATAATGATAATAATATTGAATTCCAAAAATTAAAATGTATTTCTGACTTTAATTATAAAAAATTAAGAGCTGCTATAGAGATTTTCTATGCTTAAAACTTAGTTTAAAAGAAGTGTATTAAATATCAGTTGAATAAATGTTGGTGAAGCATAACATTCCTACTGAATTAAAATTGGAATATATGAATTGCGGGTTTCGGTTTAAAGGTTCTCTGGTTTTACCACCTCCCGTTATTCGGACGTAAATAAAAACATACCGAGCCCGACACTGGTGACATAGGTAAAAAATGCATCTTTTTGAGTTTTCCCACTGTAAATTATCATTGTTAATCTTTGAACATAATTTTGTTGAATATTTATATTTAGAGTAATATAAAGCATTAATATTTCTTTAAACTAAACAAATAGGCCTAGCCAAGCATACTTTTCCTAGTTTGGTTCTTCGACTCTTTTTGTTTTGAGTTTGACAGCTGTTTAACGTCAGGCATATTAAGTAGGACCTATTTACTTCTATCTGCATTTATTTTTTTTTTATTTTAAATAAATTGACATCAGGTAGGACTATAGATTGAAATTTTCTACATCCAGAGACATTTAAAGTGTTTACATATAGCTGTATAGGGGGCTATATATCTGTATATGTAGATATACAGGGGCCTGTATATTAATTATTATCCTGCCTCTGATAAAAATCTAGAAATTTCATTGGTTGGGAGCAATACTGTATTAAACAATGTTATGCTGTCTACCCACATAACATTGCTAATATGCCCTCTCCGCGTGACCTACCCACCATATATTAAAAATTTACCAACCACACATCAATGATCATCAATATACTGCTTTCACATGACCCTGCAGGGAGCTTCATAACTGAGGTCACAATGCGTCTGACAACAGCAATGGATGCAGAACGATTTGCTTCCCTCAGTGAAAGTGGTATATCGATACTAAAAATAGTCTTTTAGAGAACCATCGGCAGGATAAATTCGTTATGTAGACATGCACTTAGAGGCGTAATACTGAAATATGTGGGGTCCTTGAAAAAATACATATTGGACTGGGCTTACGCCTCGCCCAATATGGATTTTTCCAAGGACCACACATATTTCAGTATTACCCCTCTAAGTCTCTACTTAACTAATAATATTAGTACATAGGTCCCTCATCATTCCCCCATCATATACACTAGTATTTAATTAAAGGTTAGGCTCAAGCAAAACAGCTGTATGGCCCATATTGTTCATATATGTAATGCATGTGTAAACATGTAAGATGTTTGTGTATATTTAGTTAGAAATATAAATAAATTCAGTCTTTCAGGTAAAGTCAGTGTAATATATTTCAAAAAATGATGCTTATATAACAACGACTATATTGAACATTTTATTGTTAAATATATAAATGTCCCGAGGATGATGCTAAAAAATTCAAACTAAACTACTAAAATCAGGGATATACTATTAGTTACACAGTAAGTTAGTGACCTAATACAGATTCATACAGGGTGTGAAATGGAAATCCGTATTGGGCGAGGCGAAGCCGAGTCCCAATACGGATTTCCATTTCACACCCTGTATGAATCCGTATTAGGTCACTAACTGACTGTGTAATGAATTTATCCCGCTGAAGACCTTTTACAATATAGAAAAAAATATTTGTGCATATTATGAATTCAAAATATTAGTTTTAATCCAATAACAATCAGCATAAAATATCGTTACGGTATTGAATTGAACATGTTTTATTGACAATTAAAGCCAAAAGGATAAGACACAAGTTCTACAACAACTTAGATAGTCTTCTCCTTATACAAAATTTTATAATATTGCCAAAATAAAGAACAATTATTTTCAGTAACAATTAGTAGTGTCAAAGACAGTAAACTCTTGATACCAGAACACAATACTATATACCGGGTATACAAGAAATTAAGATTTTTCAGAGAATCGACCACACTCTTTTAAAAAGGTATGAATAACTTTAAAAATTTCTACATTTTGTTGATCAGAGAATGAATCAACACCCCATCGTTACGGTAACAAGAAATTTAACTAAACTACCTACGTTAACCGTTTCTTAGCCGCCATTTTTATTTACAATAACAACGCTTCGAACGGAATCGCGTGCCTGATTTTCATATTATGCCTCAACGGAGACGTAATATGGAAACGGAGACGTAATACAGAAAATTTCAGGGCGTCATGTGATTAGCTTTTATCCAATCAGTAATCGACAAATTTGTCTGAAGCGGGATAAATGTATATATTAGGTCCCTGCTGAAACTTTATTTTATTTTACAGATAAACAACTTAAAATGATAGAAGTGTCTGGATTTCTTCCGAGAGGAAATGTCTATTTGGCAGGAGAGACCGTGAAGTGCATTGTCACCATCACAAACCTCTCTAAACAATCTCAGTATGTGAACATTCAGTTTGTCATTCATGTAATACTGAATCAGATTTACTGTTTGAAATTTGCTATAATTTTATAAAAAAATCTTTTTCAGGAACAATGTAGATTGCCTTGCATGGGCCAGTGTACAGATAATTTGTCAGTGCTCGGTGAGTGACACAAGAATTAATCTACCCTGCACTAGGAAACTTTCATCAGATGAAATATCGCCATCCTCATCAGAGACTTCATTTGTTCCCAACAAAGGTACTGGAATAAACAAAAATCATTTACATCTTATTGGATAATATGTAAATGTATTTCCTTTAATGAATAGTAAATGTCAGGTTATGAAAATATATACTTTTTCAGGAGAGCAAGGAATGACTGTGCTGTCCACAAAACCCAGAATTTTGTTTTGTGATTTAAAGCTAAGGCCAGGCGAAACTAGATCATGTGAGCATCAAATTCAATATGAATAATTATATTCTATAAAAGAAAGTTTGAGTATATTATTGTTCATACACTAGTACTCTGTCTTTATGATTGTTATACTCTTCCTTTCTTTCCCTACACTTAATTTAAGCTCACCTTGACAAAGTTGAGATGAGCTTATGCTAAACCAAGCTTGTTCTTTTCTAAAGAACAGATTTTATGTATATTACTTAATATATTTAATAGAATTCTTGATAACTTTTTTCATCAAAATTTGTACACATGAATATTTTATGTCATTTAAGATTACAATGCTGCAATAAATGTTATTACTTATATATGGGGAAATTTGTCACATTTTTTCAGTAAAATAATGTCTAGAGGCTTCAAGTTCATAAAAGTAGTGTAAACATTTTCTATTTCAGTTGCATTTGAAGATGTAATTCCTGCTGATGCCCCACCTTCATACAAAGGACAGGCTATAAAGTACTCATATAAACTGATCATCGGAGCTCAGAAGTTAGATCACCCCACCAAATTACTCAGACTGCCCTTCAGAGTCCTTCTGCTGCATGGTAAACTTTCATTATACTGGTGCTTTGATGTATGTAAATGAGCAAAATTTGTGTGACTGTTTTCCACTTATTAAAAAGTCAATTAAGATTTAATAATCTGCCAGAATAAAAGTTAGAACAGAAGCATTTTCTTTGAATATGCATTGAAGTTCTTATTAACCAATGAAAATAGAGGGGTAAAGCACCTGACCAATTTAAGTTACCATCCCTAGAAATTTAATTCGAACTCAATGTACTACAAAGTGAAATATTCAGCATTTGTTTTCAGGAATGAATGATGTGAGTGTGTATACAGATGGGGAGGAGGTACAGCCCAGTAATCCATTCCTAAAACAGGAGCAGAGTGAGAACAACCTGTTAGACATCGCCATGCAGGTCCTAGCCACCATTACTGCCAGGAAAGCACCACGTTAGTCTTTTTTCACCTCATTTTCAGCAACATTGGAATTTTGAAATGCAATTGATACTTTAAAACAAACTATATTAGTGTCAGATTTGTATGTGTGTTACTGTATGGGGGGGGGCTAAGTCTCCTAAAAAAATTTTTTTGGTTTAGCCCCCCCCTTCAAAGAAACCCTTCTTTTCAATTTGCTTCCAACACCTATGAAATATAATTCATGATATCATTTGATAATTTCATAAGCTTATACATCTTCATTTATTTCAGATTTCTACAACATTACAAATGCCAAAGGAAAAGTGGCAAAGTTCATATTGTTTAAACAAGCTTATAAACTGGGAGAGGATATAATTGGTGTGTTTGATTTCTCAGAGGGCACCGTTCCATGTGTTCAGGTATCTACACATTTTCATTTAGTTTATTGTATGAAATTGCAAAAAGCACCAACTTTTTATATAGAACATGTTTAGGAAAAACAGTTCTATTTATTATACCTTCTGAATTTAGAGTTTAACGGGTACAATCCATTTTTCAAACTTTGTAGAAATGAACACCATCTAAAACTTTCTTCCTTTCACACTTGCAAACAATTTTGCCCCGATTTAAATTTGCTAAATCTCAGTTCTGTTTAAGAAATTATATTGTTTTCTTTGAATACGTCCGTTTTAAATTGCCCACTTGTGTTGATGGAATAGGGACAAAAATATAATGGAGGTGAAACTTTCTATACAGTACATGATTAAATTTATTTCATTTTCTCTTTAAAAAATCAGTAGAGCTTTCAAGGTCACTGGGCCACAGAAAAAAATTTGTTCAAAAGAATTCATTGAGATTTTTCCATCTTTTGTTTTATGACAGTTTTCAGTGACATTACAAAGTGAGGAGCAGATTGCCGAAGAATGTCGACGTAAAGCCAGCCATGGCTCAACTTATACCTCATATGTAAAACATCAAGATATGTGTCTACACACCCAAAAGACCCACATTAACATCCCCATCCCACTCTCTGCTACACCCGGATTTATGACAGATATAGGTAATGGTCCATTTTGTAGTGTTTTACCTCAGAGTTATTCCCCTTGGCTCCCATCTTGTCGGTCTTTGTGTTGAGTTTTCTTTGAGCATGTTTGGCAGAACTATTTGGGAATATTTTTTTACAATATTGGATTTATGAACTAATTTATATCAATAAGAAAAACTGTGTTACAATACCTACATAGTGCCTTCCAGGTCCAACATAACAACTTTAACTTGGTTGAATAATGAATCAGGGCATGTTGACCTACAATATGGAGACTAATGGGAAATAACTCCTGCTGAAATTGCTTCTTTAATTTATCAGGAAAATGAAATGCATCACTTGAATATATTAACTGGTCTTTTTAATTTTTGCATAATTATATTTTGAAAGAGATTGATAACTTCTAGGTAACAGGATCTAAACAGTCTTGTTATTAAAATGAGAGTTTAGGCAAAAAAAAAATTAATTTCTTGGTTCTCATGCCCTCCCTCATCTCTTCCAAGGGTGCCTCTTTGACCCTTTTTATTGCTAAATCAATAAAATATAAACACCAAATCACCTCCCTCATTTTTTGAGGTTTTGTACAATGTAAAAAGCTGCCTCATCATGTTTTGGCTGCATAAAAAAGAAAAAAAAATGCCTCCCTCCCTCATCATATTTCTTGAAAAAAGGCCTGAGAACCAAGTAATTAACTTTGCATGGCCTTATTATAGCATCAACTCATATTTGCAGAATGAATTTCTGGGAAATACTGTATAGGGGGAAAATAACTCGCGGTGTTAATATTCGCTATATTCACGGTGTTAATAAATCCGTGAATTCAAGAAACAGTGAATAATTTTTCAATAATTTCCATGTTTTATTTTGAAATTTGAGAATAGACTACGATAGGTTAATATATACATGAACGTGCAGTACATGGTCATATCAGTAATTATGAGTAGTATTATATATTAATTATTTTAATTTGACGCTTTGAAATTCATTTGATTCAAATTAATCGGAAGATAATAACCTGTATTTGTTAAAAAGTTGTTTTAATGGCCAACTCTACAATCACGTTTCTTCAATCAAAACGCGTGGGCCATGGCTTTTGATTACCCGTGCGTAACTAATATTACCACGTGTATTTGTTACCTGCATTACCGTGCATATTAGTTTATATCGAAATTTTGGTTTTAAAATATCATTCAATTTATAACTATCGAACTTAATAAGATGTGGAAATATATTTCTTCGTCGCCCTTCATCAACACATTTATTACCGTCCAGTGCATGGTTTTTCTCCGCGTTGTATTGAAGATCTTGGGGTGTACATGCACTCATCGTAGTAGATAGGAAAGTAATTTGACGTTATTAGTCAAGGACTTTTCATAACTGCACTTGTTTTAATTAATTGTCAATTATTTATATTAAATCTAACTATTTTATATTAATCTACCCTGTTGTTCGTGAGATAAAGACATAACGCTGATTAAACGGATATAAACAAAGGAGGTAACTTTTATTATCTACAAATTCCGCGAATTCAAGAAACCGCGATCGTGTCAGATAAGAGAAAAACGTGAAAATTACAACCCGTGATATTAATCCCCTATACAGTAAACACATTTTTATATAAATTTGAACAAGTCTGTTTTTTGCTAAAGTTGAAAATATTTTACAATTTTTGTAGTCACCAAATATCTAAATATAATTGCAGTTTGTCTGAGATGGCGACTCCATTTTGAATTTGTGACATCATGTGACCCGATTCCTGAACTTGAGAGACCTGAAAGGCCAGACATGAGTGCTGTTTGGTCTGGACCCTCGAACTTAAATGTGGAGACAATGATTTGGGACCTGCCAGTAAAAATCTATCCAACAAACCCATTACATGCCTGTAGTTCAACACAGCTAAAGACAAATGTATCAGTTACACTTTGAGTGATATTCAGGATAAATCTAATGCTGCTTAGTTTGTATAGTCATTGTACAACATTGGTGGAAGACTCATTGAAATCTCTAGCCTCTCTGTAATGGCACTAGGAGTTTCAACCATCAGCACAGAGGAACTTTGAAATGTCATGGTCTCCAGTTTCCTAGTACCTGAGGGATGGTGCAAAAAACAATATAAATGAATGTAATCTTCAAAAAAAAAAATCCTTCAACTGTTACAGTACTAAAATCTTCAACAAGTGGTAATTTAGCTGAAAATACACTTGTTATTTAATTGCTTTGAATTTTTGTCCAATACATTTATATAAGTCATCATAGTTGACTTCTAAGAATAGGGTTGTGAACCTAAAGCATCATACAATTCAACTGTTCATGCATGTACCTCAGCTTATCTTTAAGAAATATACTGTTGAACTTTGGTATCTTGAAACTCAATATCTTGCATTTGAGATGCCAACCACTATTTTGCTCACTGTAGGATGCTATACTTCTAGCATCCATGTTGGCTTCAGTGTTTAAGTTTTAGGAGCATTTCCATATCCATGTAACGACATGTATAAGTCCTTCCTGGACCAAACTTATATGGATGATGCCTCTAAGGATACTCGACATTTTTTGAGATGTGGCCAAGGTAAAGTTTGTGGGGCAGGCCCATTCCCAAGTATTTGTGACCATTAGCTGTACCTGGACTATAACTGCCTTGTTGATGAATTTAGAGATGGACACTATCAGACTTGTTTCAGATGCTGGACCTGCCCTATATTTTCCAGATAAATGATCAGAAAAAAAATTAAGGATTTTGAGTTTTTTGAACAGGTCTATTCCCAAGGATTTATAAGTCCTTCCTGTACCAAACAGATTTCCATAATCGCATTTTAAATTTCTTAATTTTAATGAATGAAGTTCTGTATGGAGACACATGTCGCCACAATACAGAAGCCTTTAAGTCAGTATCGTATAAAATGTTTTATTTGCATGATGAATTTGTAGGTAGGTGGGGCATCTAAATTGTTAGACAAATACATGAAATTGCCAATTAAAAATATACATTGAACTTAAAACTTGTTACAGTCATAATTTGTGAACTATAGAATAAAATGGGAAGCTTTCAAGTATACCACCAATGGTGACAGTGCTATAGGAAAGGAGTAAAATGGAATGGACCAACCTAAGACTCCTGAAGTGACCTGAACTGTTAGTCAGGTGCTCTACTCTACTTATTGGCAAGTGAAATCAGACCGCTGAAGTAGCATTTTGAATGTCAACAGACAAGCATGCAGCTAGATGGATTGACAACAGCAACAGACACCTTCCTAATGTACAAGCTCTCTAGTGGTTTCTAAGAGCTAAAAACAGAGTTCTGTTTCAATTTATTTGCACTTTGGATACCAAATATAATACTTCTAGGCATTAACCATTTGAAAAGACATCACAAAGTCAATTTCAAAATTTTACTTCTGGACATATTTTTTACAGAATTGCATGGTTTTTATCCGACATGCACTTAAAGTATCAGATTGAGATATATAAATTTATAATGTACACTTTTATCAAATAATGCAGTGCTTGCAGAAAAAAGATCTCAACTGTATCCATGATAATTCATTTGCCATTAGTTTACGTTTACATACTGAGATGTACATGTATCATTGCTTTTCCTCAAAAACAGTACTCATGGGAGAAATGGGATTTAAAAAAAGAAAATAAATAATCATGCATCCTTCATGGTGATGCACTTTGTTTGAAATCTAATTCTGAGATTCTAGAGCTATTTTAATGTTAAGTGACATGGGTGTATTAATTTTGCATATCTTTTAATGATATACGGTAAGTTGAAAGAAATGATTATTAAATTTTCCCAAACCCCCCAGAGAAATTCTCGAATGTTGACTAGATGTATATACATGTACTACAAGCAAGTGCTTAAAGGGGGAAAACTAGTGTTACAAGAATTATTTTCCATCAAAATATCTGCAGTTACAGCTTCATCACTCAAAAGGGGAGTTAACTCGATTATCACTCAAAAGGGGAACTACCTGAAAATTTTATGCTTATTTTATGTTATGTAATGGTGTCACAAGTGCATCTTTTTCACAGTTTTGTTTTCAACATTCAAATTTCAGATTTAAAAAAAAAATTCACAGAACATTTTACAACATGTGGTACATTATAAAAATTCATGACACTGAAATCAATTAACAAAGGGCATAAAAAAATTAAAGACTACTTAAAATGATAATTTTTTCATTGACACAGTCATTTCATCTAATGGTATTAAACAAGCTGTATACAAGTAAAAACTCTCAATTAATACAAACTGAGAAGAGAATTTTTTTCAATGTGATAAGTATAAATGCTTTAAGTATATATACAAACTTAAATATACAAAGTCATCTAAATCAACAATTTGAAACAATTGTCATGGGAATAAATTACATAATTGATTCATAAATAAAAAAAAATTGAAATAAAAATCCATGTTAAACATCCACCACCATCTTTTTATGAACATCCATGTTTCCAACAACCTGAAAAAAGTTAAGAAAATAAATCAATATTTCACTTTCATGGGCATCAAAGTGACTCTTAGAGAATCAAAACATCTCTAGTTTGCACAGAGAACTTCTTTAATCTGCATACATATTCATCATTAATATTAAAATATCTGCATACTTAAAAGTCTCTGTGCTTGTTAGATAATGCTTTAATAAGGAGATTAAGGACATGTTGTATAACAGTCAATAAATATATTTTTGAAGTACAATTTCTTCTGGATATCTCATTTTATAGTGTTACAGTACCCCCCCCCCCAAAACTTAAAGCCACAAAATCAAAATGTATGCTCCACAACTCCTGCTTATCAAAAGAAAAAACGAAATTGCTACAATGTGAAACAGTTTTAATGTTTGCCAACACGATATTAAGGAGTAAATATTACGGCTATTCTGGGAGTTTTTACTTTCAATTCAGATGATTTAACAAAAAAAATTATCCACTTACAGCACAAAATTCCTCAAAAGAGATTTTCCCATCACCATCGGTGTCAGCGTGTGTGATGGTTTTATCAACTATCTGTTGTAACTGAGTATCCTTCAAATTATTCCCCACCATCATTTTTAATACTTGGAAAAGCTCTCCATTTGATATATAGCCATCTTTGTCCATATCATAGATCTTGAATGCAACTGGAAATATACAGTAAACAATCATGGATTGTAAATATAGGCATAATACTAAATAACTGTATTTAAAATTATCACATTTGTAAAATTTTGCCATTTGGATCAAACACTGTTGCATACATTGTACATTCTCAAAATTACTTCCACAAAACCAAATTATTTAATTAATACTTGTACAATGTACTGTCTTTCGAATACTTACATCGCAGTTTAGAGAGCTTGTCTCCTCTGACACTAAATTGTGATACACCTTCAATGAACTCTGAAAATAAACGAAGCACAAACTCTGACAAATGCTTATCAAATACATACTACATATTGATGATGATGGAAAGCAACATTTAAGATTGGACTAAGAGCTGTAATGTTGTTTCCATGCACTTCCCATTAGACAAGTTTATCAAGGGAAAGGATTTCATTGTCTGCTTCATATCAAATTGCAAGTATTCATATCAAAGAAAATCTAATGCTTGCAAGTACATTTATGAATCTATTTACAATCTTTTATCAATTTCCTATCTGTGCAAATGCAACATTTTAGCATCTTTCACTTAAATTTTGTATAAACAATTGGCCTTGCATTCTATAAAGCATCAAACTTTGTACATACTAAAATATAAAATACAGTACACAGTCTTCACGAAAACTTTTCAAACTAACTGGCCAGTCAGACCAGTGAACTTTCAAAACTTACTGGCCCATCAAAATTTTTACTGGCCCCTTAATTAAAAAAAAAATAAAATAAATACATTTTCATAACTGTAAATTTATACATGTTTACCTACTTCAACTTTTGAAATGCCGCCATTTTTTGTCCTTTGTCGCGTTTCGGTAAGTTGTTTGTTGGAACTTTGCACATTTTATGTACTAGTTAATAGTTACTAGCTAGTTCCGTTTGTTACGTAATACATCCATGTTATAATAGGGTTACAATAATACGATTCAACAACATGTGCTTGTTCTTTTAATTTTACATATTAATGAAATTTACGCAAGTAAGACAGTTAAAAAATATATTGACTGTGTATGATTTCTATAATCAACAAGCCCATCGGACTTCTTGAATTTTGATTTTCACTGACCCGACACCAAAATTCACTGGCCTCGGTCTTCGGACCAGTGAGTTTTCTTGAAGACTGAGTACACATGGTGTAGACAATACTCATAGATGACTAATTGAAAATTATAAACATTTCATAGAGTGCTGTATTATGACAGGATCAAGAAACACTTTCTGTTTGACATTTTTACCTTTGAAATCAACTTCTCCATTTCCATCAGTATCAAATATATCTATGACTCGTTGCACCAATGGATTTTGCTGAAGTTCTGGTAAAGTCATAAACTCATCTACACTTAAGGAGCCTGAGTTATCCAAATCCAGTTTTTTAAATCTCTTTCCCAGTCTTTTGATTTCATCTGCATCAACTGAAATTAGAAGAAACCACTGGGTGAAACAACTCAAATCAATTACAAGTTAAGATCACCTGAGTCACAAAGGTGACCTATTGCTACCTTTTTTGTATGTCATCATTCCTAAACTTTTGAACATTTTCATCAATTTTCTTTTGAATGTCTTTACCAATTTTTGTATTATAGAAGAACTATGAGCAAAGGGGAACTAAAGAGCATAGAGACCTCTTAAAGATTGTAAAGTTCATAACAGCATAATCAGAAGTTTTGGTATTTGCCAGTTAGGTGAAATTTTACAAATCATTTAATGATAAAAGCATAAATTCTTCTTAAAATATCTTTTAAGCAGACAAATTGAGTGTATAATTAAAAGGGTACCTCCTATAAAATAGTCAATTCATTAGGGATTCGGGTGTTAGGGCTGAATTTCATCGATCGCATAGTGAAATACATTAATGTTTTATTAAAGTAGCCATTTTATTGAAATGTACTTTCTACATCTCTGCTTCAGTGTGTGCCAAAAGGACTAGCCCGATGCCCGAACACTAGTAAAAATTCGATCGGGCTAGTAGAATGTAGGTCAGCACTAGCCCGATCGGTCTAGTGAAAAGTTGCATGCATTTTACATTTATTTGTTGATAAATCTTTAAAAGTAGTAAAATAAGTATAAGAATTCTTATTGATTCCTTTCTTTTTACAAGTGCGTGGGTTTCTTTTGTTTAAGCGTGTCGAGAACTTTCGGCACAGTTTGGGTTTATAAAATACACATCAGCATTTACTTCTGGTTATGGTTGCGTTATGTTAAAAAGAAATATGAAGTAAAAAGGACAAGAGAATTTCTAAACAAGTGGAAGGAGGGGCGGCCTTGGCTGTAATACAACGAGGTGAAAAAGACCATGACTTGTACTTACTGCATACACGTGAAAAACAAAAACAAATTCACAACTGGATCTGAAAACTTCCGTATCGATGTGGGCTAGCAAAATCTGATTCGGGCTAGTAATTGTTCTTCATTACTAGCCCGATTGGGCTAGTGCTGAAAAAAGTTTTTCGCGCACACTGCTGCTTCAATGTACTCCATACATATGACAGTTAAATGTGATACAAGTCAACAAAATGAAATAGAAACTGTTTTTGTTACTTACAATTTGAGCAGAGCTCCATTGGAAGTGAGTTTTCATTCCCCTGAAAATAAACATGAATATTTACTTCTCTCATTAAAAGTACCAAAGGTGAAGAAATAAAACCATTAAATTAACTTCTAAACCATTAGTTTAGGATATTATGATTTCGTCGAAGGAGTCTGTACTCTGGAGGGATTCAAAGACAAGCATTAGAATGACCTACATCCATCAATTGTTATTGTACATAGTGCCAGAAAAGCTTTTATGAACTGTAAAAACATTGATGGAGAGTTTTTTCACATGGGCTTTAGGACCTGTAGTAATAGTCAT